AAATTATATTTTGCGACCACTGGGATTTCCCGCACTATTAGAGGGAGCATTCCTCTGGAATTTTTATCAGCACTGGAGTGTTGCTCAAACCATAAAGTGAATTGCTACGTACACCTTTACCACGCGTACAGGAACGTCGACCATATTTTTGGTGGAAGACGATTTTGGAAACCAGAAAAACTAGGAAACTGAAATTTTGCGAGTTTATTCAGCAGCCATGTGCTCACTCGGTACGATAAGTACACCGTAATTTTCGATCACTGGAATTTTCCTCAACATCGGAAATTTTACATCATCGGGAGTTTTAGCAGCTACGTCGAATTCAAAAACATCAAATCCCATGAAAACACAGAAAATCTTTATGAGATTACAGCTTCCTGCTTGACGGATTCTCGAAATTGCCTCTTCGCTACAAATATTTTCAGTGCTACTAGCCTCACAAGCGTCATGTTTTGCAGCGAGTCACGAAGGAAGCTCGGACGGGTTTGGAACAGACTTGCTACATTGAAAATGTGGTCGACAAAGTTGTCCAGCTATGCTTTCATCCGTATGGAAGACGTGTGCTACGATGGATTTTTGAATGTTTCGAAAAAGTGCAGAGTGCAAAACTACTGCATCAATTTTACGGATGGGAATGCTTTTTGGCATGCGATTCTGACACATCCTTCATCATACAGGTTCGGTTTTTCCTCTTTTTTAAGTTTGTTTCGGGCGCGGATGGCGCAGTGGCAAGTAGCATTCTGTTGTCTTGCAGCAGACCGAAAGTTCGGCCCCACGGAGATACGGCCAATCCCTCAACGATTCGTTTATTCAGTAAAAGTTTTTGATGAATGTGTGCGAGGAATTACAGTGTCGTTGTGTCTGCAGGCAAGAAGAAGGGGAAGTGTGGCTTTGTCATACAAAATTTAGCCAAATTAAGCAAAGAAAAGGAAAATTGAATGTTTATATAACTGTAGGAGGCCTGATCGAATATCATAGGAATTGTTTTGGAAATTGTATT